TTGAAGAAGCCTAGAGAAAGCTATATCAGCTAATGAATCATAATCATCACGAATTCAATCCCTGATATATTGGGTTTCCAATATAAAAATTTAGGGCCCAAATTTTTTTTAGCATTATAGAGGTACCATTTTTCAAACAGGGGGGTCTGAATAATTTTGGAAAAATTTAGCATTATAGAGGTACCCTTTACTAATCGTGATCCAACATTATTGGGGGATGTTTGAGAATTGTTTCAGAGGCTCCTGACAAAGTCCAAGGATTCGCCCGGTGCGCGGCTTCGCGTTGACCTACTTGGAGGTGCGGCAAAAAAACACCTCCGCTCTGCCGGTCGTTTCCTTTTTCTTTTTCGGGAAACGCGGCGGATTCCGCGTGAAACGTGGGGGGGGTGCCTCCTGATTTCCAGCAGTTCTGGTGGACCCCTTCCAATCCTTGGTACCCTCCAATCTTAAGGGGTCGGACCCGAGCCAAACCCTTCCTGAAGACTTCCATTTCGACCGGATGTTAGTTGAATTGGGATCTTCGGCAACATCCGAGAAACCAGGATGAAGCGAATCGGGGCAGACAAGGATCTTCAAAGGGCATCACATGTTTATTTGGTGTTTTCAGTGAGACATGTCGTTTTTAGGGTTTGCGTAGTATGCTCAAAATTCATGGACGGGGAAAGACACCGTTTGAAAGCCGAAAAGTCATTTTTGTTGGTTTCTGCTGGTTGCTGTCTGGTCACAACAAAACCGCTGTCCTTTCGAACAGATGCCGCAACGGCATATAAGAATTATTATTTGGGCCGTTAGATCCAGGTATGGGCTGTGGGTCCACCAGGATACCTTGGTTGCCCTAGTTCGCGACATGGACTGGTGCTCCGTTTTTCATCGTTTTTCACCATCTCCGGCAGCCAGACGATGCAGTCTGCACGCAGAAAGGAAGGCACCAAGGAAGACGTCGCAGTTTCAGGTTTGGCCACTTTGACCGTTTGATTGCGCAATCTGAGTTGAGAATTTGGAGCTGTTCTTGCACAGCACCTGGACCAACGAACTCGATCGGAATCTAGAGAGATGGAACATGATCCCATGTTAACAAAGTACCACCTATATACCAGTGGTACCATGTCAGGGTGCCGAACTTGGAGGATAGCCGCATGATCCACTCACCTAGGCGAAAAGCAAGTCCTGTGGAATTGTTGGCAAAAAACACGGCAATTATACTACTGTATATACCTGCATGAACCTAGCACTTCCAATGGGTGTTTAATGGAGACCTATAAGTATAGTGTAGGGTTGTCCATTGGTGACCCATTGGAAGCAGCTGGGACCCTTCAAAGTACTTATAAAATGCGATAAATGAGTCTGAGTCCACAACAACAGGTAATGCTTTGAGACTCCAAGCACTTATCAAATGAGGTTTGAACCATGGTTTTCTTCGCTTAACCAAAATTTGGGACTCACACTTAGCCTCCAGAAGCATCCCGAAGCATCAAAGGAGAAGATTCCCAGCGGGACTTAATCCATCTTAATCCGTTCACTCTTATGTATACATGCAAGGCAGACCGCACGTCCATTCTTCATCACTACTATGACACAACCCTTGCCGCTTCGGTTTGGAAGCCTTTTCTAGGAGCGCAGAACTCCTCGTGCGAAATCACATGAGTGCATTACCCAGACACTCCATGTCTCTCATATATATATGCCTACATTGACCTCCAAAACCACCCCTGGCCGTTTCTCGGCAGTCCGGACTGGCAGTCCCAGACTGGTCGTGTTTGGGTTAAATGTTGTTTGCCCATGTCGATCTCGATCCCGCGTTGGCGAGGTCCTGCACCTAACTCGTGCGAACTTCATGAAGGTCATCGAGCGCCGCAGGCTTGATCGATCGAGCCGCGCGCGACACCGGGTCGAGCAGAAGTATGCGAGGTGGCGATGGCGTGATTCAACTGGGGAAGCCCGTTTTAGTTTTCGCTTGCCAAGCGAACCGGATAGGTGAACTGATCAGTCAGGTGAACCAAATCCCAAGGTTTAAGGTTTGATCACCCGTGAGTAACACACATCCACCCTAAGTGAGAGAGAGAGAGAGGCGGCCGGGTGGCCGGGTGGAGGGGTGAGGATGGATGAGGTAAAGAATCCAAATCTGTCCAGACGCGACCCTGGACCCTGCTAAGGGGCGTACCTCATATGGACCTTCTCACCAATCCCGGTGGAGGGACCAGGAAAGGCCTGAAAACTCACGGAGCCTCTGGGAGCTCTCCCCAAAGGGTCCGGACCACTAGAAAACGATCGCATCCGTTTCGCATCGCCGTTGTACACGCGCCCATCGTGCGCATGACGATCGCGGAGAGGTTCTCTTGCCCTCAGCTGGGGCAGATTGTGCGGAAGTTTTGCGTTCGCCTAGCAGCGAGGAGGGGCATCTTGCAACATGCACAGCAGGCCAGGGGGTGGTGGGACCGCGCCCGGGAGGGCGCATGGGGGCGGAGAGGTCCATAGTCAGCTGCGCGTTGCGAGAGGATGCGAGGCCAGGGCTGTTCACTGGGCTGAATGACTCCCTATAGAAAGTCAAACCAGAAGCAAAGGGATCTTTCCACAGTCCAAACCACTGGTCGAGCACAAAAAGGATTTCAATTGCCATGTCGCATAGCAGTATATAGTTCTATACTACACCTTCGCGTTCGGCTTTTTTAGGGTTTCACGTCGTTTGGTTCGCAGCCGCCAGTGACAGTCGCTTGCTTCATACTGGCGACGTGAGACTCGGGTCTTAATGGATCCACCTTGAGTCGACCTGTTCGTACCTCGGAAAATGGGTACAGTCGTACCTGTTTCTATGGGGTCATGTCCCATTTTCGGTACTTGAAGTCGGGTCCAGGCACTCGGGGCAGACGCTGACCCTGGACCCTCCGTTCAGTTTGCCGGTTCCCCGAATGGAGGAGTTTGGACCCTCAACTTGCTGTCCCGTTTGGCCTCCAGTCGTACCGAACCTGAGGTTCGGTGGGACTGGGGGCCCGGGTGGGCCCGGGTGCCAGGAGGGTCCAAATACCTTCTGAGGAAGTACTTGGAGGTCCAGAGTATGGTTTTGAGGGACGAGTCGGCCTGTGAACGGAGGGTCCACGGGTAATTGGTTATAAGCCTTTTCGCAGCAGGTCCGGCAGGTCCTTCACTAATTGGATATAATTTGATGATATTGGATGATTCCTGGAACATTAAAGCACCGCTGGGTCGGCACTTCTTCTTCGGCACTTCCTTTGTCTCATGCGCGGCCAGTGGACCTGCCTTCAGCCTTTCTCTTCCCCACAACTGGCAGGCGCAGAAGCTCATGGAGGCCGCTGCGGCCTCCGAAGCCATGCGCTCTGCACAGCTGGAGACTTCGTCCATCGCGGCCGTCGCCCACGGTGGGAGCTCGCCCACCTCGCCCACGAGCTTCCCATCTCCTGCGCCGCCAAGGATTTCCAAAGAGATGTGCCTTGGGAGTTCGGAGGAGCAGACTCGGGTCGTTTCGTTTCCCGTGACTGGCCCTCGTTGGTCGGTACCGAAGCGCGAACCGGAGGTTCGGTGGGACGACCGGGGCGGTGGGTGCCATGTTCCGTCGGGTCTAGTCATACCGAACCTGAGCAGGTACGACGAAGTCGGTGTAGGGTTTGTTCCTTTTCTTCTTTCCGATCCGATGTTGGGGAGGGGATTGAAGATTTGGGATGGGAAGCAGTTGCGTTCCCCTTGTTTTGAGAGGAGATGAGAGGAGATCGCACGTTCTGCTTGGTTTCCCATCCATGGGGCATCTATACCAAGGACCTTCCAAGAGGTGTCTATATAATTCTATATATATAGCCACAAATATATCCACAAGGAGCCTCTTAGAGATCTCCGCAACTTGCCCTAGGCCTCCGTTTTCGCACCGAACCTGAGGTTCGGTGGGACTGGGGGCCCGGGCGTGCCCAACGTGTGGCCGTCTCGCGGCCGACCGTGTCGGAGGGTTGCGAAGCAGTCGCTCAGGTTGGCGAAGCAGCAGTCCTTTGGGATGGTTCCTGGACAGCTGGAAGACTTCTGAGGGGAGCATCGGTGAAGATCGGAAGTGAACATCGCGTTTCACCCGGAAAAAAACGGCGCTGGAGCAGATGATCCTCCATTGCTGGCGGCCTGTTTTGGGGGAGAGAAGGACGGTACTAGTCATGTTTCTGAGGACAGGAAGCATGGCCATGTTGCTGCCAGCATCTCAGAGGTGCCATGGGACGGCTAAAGTCGTCCGTGCCACGAGCGAACGTACGGTGCAAAGCCACAGTGTCGAGGTCTATTTCGCGCCGAAGCTGCAGATTATAGTTTATGCCAGGCGATGCCAGGCATTCGAGGTTCTTTTTTGTGCCATCCACTCAGTGACCCACATTGGGGGTTGGGGCAGCAGTCTTTTCGTTCTGAGATTGACAGGGGTGGGACGTTTTGAATCAAAGACCAGCCTCCTCCTTTGACCCACGACCTGTCCTATTTCAGGTCCAGTCAGAACAGCCCGAGGGTCCAACGGTGATACTGGTGAGAACCCCATAAGAGTGAGGGTCCAGGGTCGCGTTTGGGAAGGAGAACTAACAGCTTACCTTCTTTTGCCTTATGCCAAAGAGGAATTGGTTAATATGTTGTTTATTAATTGTTTCCTGCATGGGTTCCTGAATCCTGAAGTAAATCCAAAGTTATGAACTTCTTCGGTTGTCTCAGTACCCGACCACACAATCCTGGCCGGCTTGAAAGTTCCGGACCAAATGGAAAGCCTTCGGGGCCCGACCCTGGGAAAATCATGCCTGATCATGAATCCACCGGTCTTGGTTTCTACTTGGAGTGACTACACATCACTGCCCCATGCGTCAAATCTGCAGCTCCAGCCGCTTATTTGCGCCACCTCTTAGAGGTGGACTTCAATACCGCAAAGAATTTGTGACCGCCATAGGTGAAGATGAAGATTTGATCTGGAAATTACCTGGAATCCACAACCCGGAATCCATGAACGACCTGACAAGATGGAAATCACATTGTTGTTGCGAAAGAACCACACCCGGTAAGCAGAGTCAGCAGAGAAAAGCACCGGCCAGCGGCGGTCAGAGTCGTAACCAAAATCCTCGATCTGCTGATGACACAGGCTGGAGATCGCCAGCAGCGTGGGTCATCATCAACTCCGATGCTCAAAAGCCTGAACCTCCAGAAAGCTACCAACCATTGCCATTTTAGAGTCTTGTAGGATATTGCTGCGAGGTTTGTGCTAGCCTGGGACGACAGGCTAGCCTGTCGCTTTTCTGGATTTCCAGCCCAAACCATGACGACCGTATCACAGCAATGCCTCTGTCGCGTGTGACCAGGCGTGTCACGCATTTCCCGCGTTTCCCGCGGTGTCACGCGCGTCGCGGAAACAAGCGGAGCCTGAGCAGCACAAGAGGAGCAGCCCTCCCCGGTGATTTGTGGGCATAGATGGCCTTGTACTATTATTGGGTTGATTGACGAGTAGAGGGGATACTCCCAAGTGCACACCACAAACACTCGCACTCGCAAGATGAACACTTAATGCCCCTAAACCTCTTGGCCCACATCCCCAGAAGGTGGAGGTGGGTGGTTTTTTGGGGGGGTTACTCCCCACCGAACCGGAGGGGATGGGCCGTTTGGAGCCCTACGGTCTTCGAGCGCCGTCTTTGTGGGTCTATGGCGATCCACGCCTCGTCGGCTGAACCACAGCGACGTGACTGACTCGGACGGACCCCGGAAGCCCTGCTGCTTAGAGGTGAGTCGAGGCGTCGATGAACCATCCGTGGTGTGGGTGGTGCAAACTTCAGTCACCCTATAGGCCTCCGTTTTCGTACCGAACCTGAGGAGAAGGTGGGACTGGGGGCCCGGGTGCCATGTTCGGGTCCAGTCATACCGCACCGCTTCGGAGGTACGACGAAGTCGGTGTAGGGTCAGTGACCGCCTGTCCTTTTGATCCCATTTTCGATCACGGCCTGTAACGACTTAGAGACTCCAAGGAGGCAGTCCTACCTGGACCTAAATGGCTAGTCCATGGTCAATTCATGAAACTACCGACCTGACTTCAAGGAGCTTGGAGAATGAGCATACAAAACTGCATGATCATTGTACTTGTAGTCATATTGCGAGGTACGAACCAGCTTGACTCGTTTTCGACCGGGATCTCCCGCAGGTCTCCACACGTCTCCTCGACGTCCGTGTTCGGCGGCCTCCAGGAGCTGCGCGAGGGCGATTGGTTGGCCGAGGCGACCCTTTGGACTCAATGGAGCCACTGCGGCATGTCCGGCGACCCGGAGGGTGGCGCTTCCTGCGGTGCACGCGCCGGCCACGAGACACTGGTGTAGCGAATGCAGAAGGTACTTTGGATACCTATAGGGCCCCAGGGAAGTGTCTTGTGAAGCACATCATCATCCACCACTGTCCACCCATCAATTTTTTTGTGGCTTCACCTCCTTCGCTGTCCGTAGATGTTCAGCTTTTTTGGGAATCAATCTGTCACCTCTTCGCAAGTGCAAGTGCACTGCCCTCAGCAGCCAATGGGTTGGCTTATACACATAAAGAATCAAGACAAAACCATACAAAACCAACATTGCATGTAGAAGTCGACCATTATTTCAGAGCTCTTGGGATGACAGGGGGGCCCTAAGACCAAAAAAGCCATAAACAATCTGTTTCAATCTAACAACTCTTTGGGGACCCCTGTCAGCCTGAGACCTCTTTGAACTTGTTTACTGTTGTTTAATTGATTTTATTTGTAAATGTCAAATGTCGTATTGTTTTACTTTAGATGCTGCCTAGGCCTGTTTGTTTGGCCAATCCTGTTCCAGGTATGGAACTATTCCCTAACACTTGGGAACTATTCCCTAATACTTAGGAACTATTCCCTAACACTTGGGAACTATTCCCTAATACTTAGGAACTATTCCCTAACACTTGGGAACTATCCCTAATACTTGGGAACTATTCCCTAATACTTGGGAACTATTCCCTAACACTTTGGAACTAGACTATTCCCTTACTAATACTTGGGAACTATTCCTAAATGCTGTGGAACTATTCTTAAATACCTACTAGCTGTCACTATCTAAATTAAATTTTGGACTGTGTCTTGGTGAGGGTCTGTCCGTTTGTACTTGGATGCTTTTCGATTTTCAGCATCTTTGGAAGGAACACTTCACAGCACAGTGTTTACATTCCATGAACCACTTGCGACAGGCAATCACACTAGCATTGCATTACACCTCACAACTGAGCTCTAAAGCATTGCATTGCAGCATTGCACTGCCCTGTCTCAATCATGTCCCATGTGCGATTGGTCCAGCAATGGGAAAGAGCAGCGCGCAGCAAAAACAAGGGCGACATCACCAAGGCCAACGCCGCATTAAGATTAAAAGACGGAAGCGAGTAAAGAAGAGAAAGCAAGCTGCTCCACCACTACCTGTTCCACCACGGCCTCCACGCCTGCCAGCAAAGCGGCAACTACCACCACTGCGACGTAGGCGTTGTCCTCAACCTCCCCCACCTCCCCCACCTCCCCCTCCTCCACGAGCAGAACCGCAACTATCCGCACAGCCCGTTCAAGATCAACCAGATCAACTGCATGAGCTTCTTCAAAACCTATATGTGCCACGGCTGTTTAGGCTCTGGTTTGCTGCGTGTTGGTGATTAGGTTGGCACCTGTGTCACAAAAGTACAGTGGTGATACAGTGATACTACCATGGGATAAAGTTAGTCCATTTTTACAGTACATACGTAGCACGTAGCCCAGTTTGCAATGATGCGCCGCTTCTCAAATCGTGGTGGTGATGATGAGAGCTCGATTGACTCGGAGGGTCCGATGTCTCAGCTGTTTGCAAATACTGACTCAGATGTTGACAAGAGTTCTGAGAGGAACCTTGGGCCTATAGAGTAAATATCGAAATTGTTTTTTGTTATCATTGTTTTGACTCTTGACTTTGGTGACTTGACTCCTGACGTTGAGACCAGATACAGACATGTCACATTTGACATTTCTGGATGTTGGCCCGCGAATTCAATTCATTCATTTTGATTCTGACCACTGGGCAGGGGCCAAGTGTTAGTTGTCTTTTGGACTTGGACTTGCATTGAATCAGAAGCCAAGGGTAATGCCATTGGAAGGCAAGACTCTACCCTTTTTGAACTGGCCATTGGAGTACTGCAAGCGGCTTGGGATCAAAGAATTGACTCTTGGTGGCATTAAAGATGGATATGGTACGGTATGAGATATGAGTCAATGGTCGATGTGTCAGTGAAACTGTTTAAATGATGTGAGTCAGGTCATGTCAAGTCAATTCTATCCGCAGCGAGTGGGCAGGGAATGCAACCTTCATGTTTTTTTGCCAGGCAAATCGGAATTGAAGATTGCGATATGGCTGTCAGTGGACGTGCTGTATGCTTCCACTGCAAGACCAAGATCAAAGTCAACACTGTCCGCTATAGCTACTTCCACAGCGTGAAGAGACCACCAGCGTGGGTTCATAGCACATGCCTTTTGCCTTTGGTTCAATCAGCCAACATCAAAGAGCAAGCGTTGGTGGCATTGAGAAACATCATTTCCAAGAAGCTAGATGACCCGCAGAGCGCCCGTATATTCAATCCTGTGGTAGACGATGTGCAGAAAGCTCTTAACTCATTGGAAGCTTTGAGTCGGGAGTGATTCGTGACAGGTTGAAGTGCAGCGAGCAAATAAAGGAAGTGAGAAACAAACATGACAAACAGAACAGACTTAACAACCCTGTTTTCCCATAATTTGACACTATACACTGAGGAATTCATCAAGTCAATGTAATTGTAATGTAACATTGTATTGTGTCAAGTCAATTGTTCTTAACAGGCGTCATAGATTTGGAGGTTGACTCAAAGTTAGAGAGCTTTAGTTGCTGCGAGTTCCGGCTGCAATAAACCAGCAAACCAATTGCGGTGACATATTGGTATGAGTGATATGCGGTGTAACGAGTCAACCCAGTCATAGTCATTGGGGCTGGTTTCATTGCCTTTGCCAGTTATGAGTTATGAGCCATTCCCCTCGGCCTGGCCAGACTCCAGCTGACTTCATCCTCCATGGCTACTTGGGAACAGAGCCCATTGGATTGGAGCTCATCGACGGATACTTTCTGGAAGTCATGCATCTTGAGACTCTTGTGCAAGCAGGTGTTGATCGCTTTGGGTGATTTCCAGAGGTCTCATGTGACTCATGTGTGTTGAGTTTTCGTAGAGGAGCCAAAGAGTCAGTCACGATATTATTGATTGTCAAGCAATGAGTATAGGCTATTAGGCTATAGGCTATTGTATTGTCATTGCCATGGACTATCAGGGAGCTGTCATATAA